GACCTTCGAAAGTTCATGGAAAATCATTATTAAGAAAAACTTGTGGGCTAGCAGATAGTGTGGTGGTTAAGGTGCTGGATTCCCACAGGGCCGGCCACAGTTCGAGTCCTACACCAGGCAGCTTGAAAATGACAACAAGTAAGTAGAAAAATAAATAAATATTAAAAAAGAAAAAGAAATAAAAACTATCACAAACAGCAAGTTGTTTTTTGTTTGTTTGTTTTTATTTTTTTTGAGAGATTTTCACTATAGGACGCATGCGCTTGCCAGACAAACAGAGAGAGACAGAGAGACAGAAAGCGAGAAATCACCCCCCGGGGGGATGCTCACGCCGCAATCCCTTCTCCTCCATTCTCCTCTCGGGATCTTGGGCACGCACGCACACGTGCCCGGCGTGTTTTAAGCAACCGAGTTGGGGACGCGAACCGTGGTCGACTACGTGGGAGTCCAGTGACGTAGCCATTACGCCAACTGCTGGTCCCTGGTTTTTGTTTTTTTCCCCTCATCAAAACGCATATTGATTTGCTACGTGTTTGAGCACCATCTAGGGTGAGGCACCAACAGGATATGACATCAGTTTGAAAAGAACCCCTACCAGGGAACCAGCAGTTAGCGTAATGGCTATGTCGCTGGACTCCCACGTAGTCGACCGTGGTTCGTGTCCCGGACCCGGTGGCTTAAAACTCACGCCAGGCGCGTGTGCGTGCGTGCCCAAGATCCCGAGAGGAGAATGGAGGAGAAGGGATTGCGGCGTGACCATCCCCCCTGGGGGGTGATTTCTCGCTTTCTGTCTCTATGTCTCTCTCTGTCTGTCTGGCGAGCGCACGTGCCCTACAGTGAAAATCTCTCCAAAAAAAAAAAAAAAAGAACCCCTACCAGAGCGACATGAATTCTGCCAGCAGTGAAGCGAGAGCAAAGAGTAACTATCAGCTACATGGTGAGGCTTGGGTGGGAGAACAGGGAAGCACTGGTGCTTTACGAGCAGCGAATGGAGAAAATGCACAGCTGAAGGAACAGCGAACAAGCGGGTCGTTCACTGTAGGAAGGGGCGAGACGACGGCGACGCTGGTACTGGCAGACCATCCATCTCCAGTTGTGAGAACAGTGCATCGAGTCCGTGCCCTGAAGAGGACCAGTGACCGACAGCAGACACAGCCAGCACCAGGGACATCTCGACTGGTTCAGTTTACACAATCCTGTCAGGAGAATCAGTGAGCAAACTTTCTATCGGATAGAAGGCAAAAATCCCATCAGCTAAAGACAGCAGCAGAGCTTCCCGTGGAAACTGTAAACAAGTGGGGTGGAGATCCTGAAGTGTTTCTTCCAAGAACTGTTAACAGGAGATGGCATGCGGCTTTACCGGTACGACACGAGACACAACACAAAGCAAAGGCTACCCAGAGGTAGGAGCCCGGTTAGAGCAAGGGCGGAGCAGCCGAGGGCAAGGGTCACGGTGACGCGTTTGCAGGGTAATCGAGGCACTTTGCTTATGAGTGTTCTTGAGGGTTATGAAGTCACATGGGCTTATTACGAGTGTTTTCAGGGGACCAGCAGTTAGCGTAATGGCTATGTCGCTGGACTCCCACGTAGTGGACCATGGTTCACGTCCCGGACCCAGTGGCTTAAAACTCACGCCGGGCGCGTGTGCGTGCGTGCCCAAGATCCCGAAAGGAGAGTGGAGGAAAAGGGATTGCGGTATGACCATCTGCCTGGGGGGGAGGGGGTGATTTCTCGCTTTCTATCTCTCTGTCTCTGTCTGGTGAGCGCACGCACCCTATAGCAAAACAAAACAAAACAAAAATACTCCCCCCCCCCAAAAAAAAGTGTTTTCAGAAAGTTAATCACACTTTTAGCAGAAAACATAGCCAGAAAGGTTTACCAGAAAGTCCTTCTCCACCTCCATGACCCTGCTCATTCCTCCCAAACGAAGCCCATTTAATGAGCATTTTGATGACAAACATTAGGCATCAGCCTTACAGTCCTCTTTTGGCCCTGACTTATTTTTGTTTCTTAATCTTAAAAAAAAAAAAAAAAAAAACCTCTGGGGAACCAGCAGTTAGCGTAATGGCTATGTTGCTGGACTCCCACATAGTCGACCACGGTTCGTGTCCTGGACCCGGTGGCTTAAAACTTATGCCGGGCGCGTGTGCGTGCGTGCCCAAGATCCCGAGAGAACAGAGGAGAAGGGATTGCGGCATGACCATCCCCCCTGGGGGGTGATTTCTCGCTTTCTGTCTCTATGTCTCTCTCTGCCTGTCTGGCGAGTGCATACGCCCTATGGCAAAAAACCTCTCTGAAAAAAAAAAACAAACCTCTGTAGGTCACCCACTTTCCTTAGCTAATGCTATAACAAGGGCACTGACAGGATGAAACGCCTGCTGCTCTCAAAAACTGAAGGCCGGACTCATCACTTACCACCAGGCCCAGAACTTGATGAAGCTTCTTTTCAGAAATAAAGTTATTTTTTTACTTTTAATTTCATTTTCCCCACAAAACTTTCTGATATCCCTCTGTATAAATAACAATATAGGTGAACTGAAAAAAAAAAGCAAACCTGAAGGTGAGGAGAAAAATCTCTCCCTAACGAAACCTATTAAGAACATGGGTTGGACGTGGAAGCTATGCAGCAAATGCAACACTGTAAGGTAGTCTTTCTAAAGAAGAGGAAACATTTCTTTCTACTGAAAAAAAAATCTATTAATTTGTGAAGCAAAAGTCTAAGTAAATTCTGTCAACTTAGAGAACTTTTTAGCGTGGGAGGAGGCTGGGAGATGGCAGGTGAGAGATAGGAAATCAAGGATGGGAAAGAACAAAATCTACAGGAAACAAGAAATGGAAAATTATTAGTTGGTGATAACACATATGTCGATGTGCTTGATTGAGCCAATATATAGTGTATTCTGGATGGAAAATCTCATTTTGTATGCTGTAATGATGTACAGCGAATGAATGTAAATAAATAAAGTTAAATAAAATTTAAAAAGAAAGAAAAAACTTTTTAGCAAAGTAAGTGGTAGAACTGTCATTAGTAATTACAATAAAAGCATGAAAACTTAACAGCTGGCATGAATCATTGATCTCAACCAACCTAAACACACGAAGGGCATGCCCACGCAGGGCTTCTGCACTTGGGTTCCCATTGCTTCTTCCCCTGCATGGATCTCCTTCCTCATCTCTTTAGTGAGACTTTCCCTGACACTCTACACACCATGACAAATTCCCGCCCACATTTGCTGTGTCCCCTCCCAGGCTTCGTGTTTCTTCTATGTGTTATTTTTCCCCACCATGCACACTTATCAATCGCCTACTGTATTCTATGAATCACTTATGTAGCTATTGTATGTTTAAACCACCCACAGGAAATGACAAGCTTGAGGATAGGCTTTTTTTTTTGAGAGGTTTATGCTACAGGGCGCATACGCCTGCCAGAAAGACAGAGAGACAGAGACAGAAAGCAAGAAATCACCCCAGGTGGGGAGATGGCCACACCACAATCCCTTCTCCTCCGTTCTCTTGGGATGTTGGACATGCACATACACGTGCCTGGAGTGAGTTTAAGCCACCAATTCTGGGACTCGCAGTGCGGTCGACTACATGGGAGTCCAGTGACATAGCCATTATGCTAACTGCTGGTTCCAAGGATAGACATTTAATTTTAAAGAATTATTTATTTAATTTTATGTATTAATTCATTTATTTTAATGCAACCAGAGAGAGACACAGAGAGAAAGAAAGAGAGGGAAAGTGACAAAGCAAGCGACCAGGTCTAGGACTCCAACCGTGGTCTGCCATGTGGGAGTGCCCAGTGCCTTAACCACCACGCCACCTGCTGGTCCCCCAAAGACAGGCATTTTTATTAGCTTTGTCCGTTGGTATATCCCAGCACCCTACATAGTGCATAGAATAAAGTATTTGTGGAAAGTAAGGAAGAAAGAAAAGAAAGAAGGAAGGAAAAGGAGGAAGAGAAAAGAGAAAGAAGAGGTGGAATTCGACATAAAACAGTAAGAGCCAGCCCCGTTGTGCAGCCAAGTGCTGAGCATTAAAGAGCAAAACCCCACATGGCCAACTGCGGCTCAAATCCCGGCTGTGGAGGCTTGAAAAACATGCCCGGTGTGTGTGTGTGCCCCAAATCCTCACAGCATGGAGAAATGGAGAGAGGACTGGGGAGTGACCACTCTTTACCGGGGAATGCTTCGTGGCTCTCTGAACCATCAAGGCCATGGCTGGCCCACCACTCTCTCTCCCTCTCTGGCAAGTACACTCCTCCTTGGCAATTCAACAAAGAAAAAAAGAAAAAGTAGTATGTCAAACTAATGACAGTTGACCGACTTTTTATCTACAACCCACATGTTGATTTACGCCTTTGGAGTTGTCCGTCCATACCAAAGAAATCTGTATCCACCGATGTGTTGCGTTATTAGGCTCCCCGTTCGGAGTGAGTACTGTAGCTCTGTGTACACTCCGAACGGGGAGTTATACTTGCATCATATAAAAAGTTAGTGTCTGTGCACAGTATCCCACGGGCATGCACCACATTAACAAACCCGTCTTTCAAAACCAGAGTCATTATCAGCCAGCCAGAAATAAAGTGGGACAGACAAGAAGCCGTTATAAAAAAAAAAACCTTTTTAATTCTGATTGCCAAATTATTTAAGGCAGGTATAAAAAAGGAAAGCATTCAATATACATTTTACATAAAATAAACTAGATTACAGCATAAAACAAGTAACCAGGCAATGGCGTTAAAGTCTCTCTCTTCTAAAACTGGATAATTGTAAACATTAAAATAAAAAAAAAAAAATTAAAAAAAAAAATAGACTGCGGGACTATTCAAGTAACAGAACAATCACAGATGTCTCTGGTATGCAGGCTATTGGGTTATTTGCCATTCAAGATTATCCAAAAATGACACCTCATTATTCACAGATGCTCATTATTTCCCCATGTACGTCTTTACATTATATACAACACAGTTTTTGTGGTACTGGCAACCCCATGCCTTCCGAAAGTATTTTTTCCACAATACACAAGTACAAACAGTGACTACAGGAACATTTTACACTGATGCGTCTTCAACAGGGGCCACCAAATAGACATCTAAATGGTATCAAGTGTCGTCATCACAGTTGGCCTTTCCGAGGGGCGTCCGGGAAGTACCTGGAGGGTATGCACGGTTCAGGCACACTGATACATAACATTATTTATTTACAAGCGAAAAGGAAAAGGAAAAGAAAGTAAGCAGCCTTCTGTGGCTAACACTTTTCAACGTGACGAATACGGGTTTTTTTATTTCCTTTACTGAGTGGTTTGCAACTTGGCAACAGACCCTGTGTGTGCGAGCCTGGTTACTGATACAAAAAAAGTAAAGAATATATATATATATATATATATGTATATATACAGATATGTATACGTATATATATATAAAACAGAAGTTTAATTACAGCAACATTTGTTACTCTGTGATAAAATCTGTAATTTACAAAAACGAAATGACTGGTTTTTGCCTGCCATTAAGGCATTTCAAATTAACACCATGGAACTGATGTCTGTATAAAGCGCTTCCTCACGTGATCCGGTCACATGACAACGTACACTTCCAATCTGGTTATTCTCTGCAAGAGAAAAAGAGAACCTTAGCGTGGGGTTCTACCAACACCTCACACCGAAAACCGTAAGGCTGATTGACGGGCTTATTTTCATTCTAATACACGAGTGGCATTCCCAAGAAAGTAAATAAAAGCAGAGATGGCATACGTTATGAAAACACACTGATTCCGTAACATTAATAATTGAATTCCTTTTAGTTATTTCCCTTTGTAAAACAACCCGAGGGGTGATTCAAATGGCAAAGAATAAACATGATCTTTCGCGTCACGAGAATATATTTCCCCACTTGCAACTTTATTTTTAAGCAGAATAAAACAGAGAGAGTCGTAGTGGGATATTTTAACAAACTATGGGGATAACCTAAGAAAACGTCAACGGTCTACAACATGAGTTAATTACTTATCTATGTTCCATTTATAAAATGGAGTTCACGGACCATAACTTGCTCACGAAGCCTCCTGGTAAGTACAGTCCATTTGTTGCAATGATATAAACCCCAAGGGTCGAAGATTTCCGTCTACAAAGCCTACGCTTGCCTGCTCTGAGCCAGTCAGATGCCTCTATCTGGAAGACAGACAGCAATGCAGGGGGCAGTTACCTTCTTTGTGCAGGGAACATTCCTGATGCAGATGCCTGGGCGGCCACTTGCTGAGAGGCAACCAGGGCAGCAGAGGTGAGCCCTAACGGAGAGAAGAAGTCGAGTTTTTAGTTTGTGATAGGTTGTGTGTGCTGGCAGGGAGAAAGTGAGAAGGCTTCCCCTGGGAGGATGGCAAGCTGCCTTCCTGTCTCCTCCATTTCCTTCTAGGAACTTTGGATGTGCACCCACGTGCCCGGCATGTTTTCTAAGCCATTGTGTCCGAGACTCATACCATGCGGTTGGCCATGTGGGATCCAGCCATCTTAATCACCACGTAACTGGCTGGCCCCCATAATAGAAGGTTTTTGTGACATTTAGAAAGATTACAGCAGATGGGAACCAGCAGTTAGCGTAATGGCTATGTCGCTGGACTCCCACGTAGTTGACTGCGGTTCGCGCCCCGGACCCGGTGGCTTAAAACTCAGGCTGGGCATGTGTGCGTGCGTGCCCAAGATCCCAAGAGGAGAATGGAGGAGGAGG